GGCTTGTTGGGAGGCATCAGGTTGATAGAAAGGAGCCACTGTGGAGCACTGAGGGTGGATGCAGCTTGTTGGGAGGCATCAGGTTGATAGAAAGGAGCCACTGTGGAGCTCTGAGGGTGGATGCGGCTTGTGGGGAGGCATCAGGTTGATAGAAAGGAGCCGCTGCAGAGCGCTGAGGGCAGTTAGGGCTTGTGGGTGGTGATAATATGAACTCGATAATGGTGAGAAGGAATGGGAAGAGAAGGGGGAGAGGGCAGGACCAGAGGGGGTCTCCAGTCTCACAGCCTTCCTGGCGGGGTCTTCACAGGTGGAGAACACCATGCTCGACACCTACGACATGGCTTACGAGCAAGCAATGAGGAACGTCTCCGACATCTGGCGGCAGAAGCTGGTAGCGGTCCATGACACGGTGAGCCCTGGGTGGGCTGAGGATGAGCCCCCTAGTCTGGGAAGGGCCTGAGGAGGATAGAGAGGGAGCTTGTCTAAAGTGGTTTGATTCCTGTTCTAAGGCCCAGGTGGCTGTGGACAGTCTCCTCCTCCCTGGTCCTCAGTTTCCCCATCTCTGAGATGAGGAGAGAAAGGAGTATTGTGGACTCAAGGGGGGCAGGGCTCAGGGGCCTGGGGAAGCACCGGGGAGGCTGGTAGCATCCTACCTCCCAGCTGGGCCCCAGACCAGCCCAGACAGGCCAGGACAGGCGGCTGCACATTGCTCCCAGGCCTGCCTCTCACTGGGGCCTCTCTGCCATTTTCAGTTTGGCTGCTGTGGAAAGAGCTCACCTCTCAGTGGGCTTGGACAGGACGAAAAGGCCTTGTGTAGGGAAGTCCGGCACAGAGAGGTACGGAGTGAGGCAGGGGGCTGCTTCCTTGGGTCAGCTGGGAAGAGGGAAGACTTGGGCCCGGCTTGGGGGGAGGAGTGTGGGGAGGACGCTAACCTTGCCTTGGTTGCCCCAGCCCCGCCCCCAGGGAGAGAGTACAAGGACAGTCCCCATTTTACAGATGAGGAAACTGAGGCTCCAAGGCATTCAGTGACTCATCCAGGGCCATGCGTGGAGCCAGGTCTTTTGACACTGTGCCTACCTGGCCACGTACTGGAGTGGACGGACGCCTGGAAGGCTCCCTGGCTCTGGCCTGGCTGCCCTCTCAGTCCCAGGCTCTCGGAGCTCAGAGCCCCACAAGCTCAGAGGTCAGCTGGTCCAGCCCACACCTGAGCCAGGGAACTCTCTCCAGCGCCCCTGCCAAGGGGTGCCCCGGCCTCCGCGAGGGGGCAGCCACTCTCTGCCAGGCCCGATGCCCCCTGGGGCCACTCGGCTCATCTAGCTGGTGAAATCTGCCTCTCTGACCCTTCCCCGCCCCTGCCCCTTGCTCCCCTCCCTGGGGCCCAGAGAACAAGGCTCACCCCCCTACCCAGGACAGCCCTGCTCCCCCCCCACCCCCTCCCCCGTAAGGCCCGAGCATTGCCTCTGGCTGAGGCTTCTCTGGCCGGGTCTGCTAGCATCCTAGCTGCCCCGCCCCACCCCCCAAAGGACCTCCAGAATCGGCAGGGCCTTCTCTGCCCTCATGGGAGCTGCGTGTTCTGATGACCTAATGCCCCGTCAGTGCCTGGCACGTCTCAGCCGGCCAGCAGCCCCGAGTGCCCAGGCCCCACCAAGGCGGGTGGCTAAGGGTGCAGCTGCAGGGCCTGGGGCGAGGGGAGCAGGGGTGGGGAGGGCCGGGGCTGGGCTTTGCTCTGCTCAGCCTGTTTCTCTCTCTTCCAGGGCTGCCTCCAGGAGATCAAAAGCTTCGTGAGGGAGCATTTGAGCTTAGCTACCCTCCTGCTCATCATCACACTGGCCCTCATGGTACCCCCCCACTCCCTCTTGCCCCCTCCAGGGCTCCCCACTTCCCCCGGAGTCGGTCCAGAGGAGAGAGCTGTGACCCTGCGGGACAGGGTTAGGTTAGGCCCGGGCTTAGGAGATGGCCCGTCTTCCCCTCGCCCATGAAGAAGTCCTGTGATGACCCTTCTTATCTCCTCTGCCTCTGACTGGAAGAGAGCTTCTGAATCAAAGAAGCCCTCAGCTGCCTGCGTGTTACAGATGGGGGAACTGAGGCCCCGGGAAGCGACGGGGTTTGCCCAAAGCCGCAGAGGGAATAAGGTCCCCTGCCTCCCCTGGATTTGGAGCCAAAAAGACCTAGCTCTGCCACTCACTGTGTGTGTGACCCTGAGTCAGTAACCTCCCTCCTCTGGGCCTCGGCGTCCTTCCCTGTAAAATGAGGACAGGCCTGGACTCACAGGTGTCTAATGTTTCTCCCGGCCCTAAATCCTCAGAATTCTCTCTCTGGGCTGGAGAAAGGGAACGGCCCAGCACCTTCTCCAAAGCCAATGGGTTGAAAGGGAGATGGCCCCAGGCTGGCCAGGCCCAGGCCCACCTCTAGACACTGGGAAGGTGCCCAGAAGCTCCAGCCTGCTGCTGCCTCCCTGCCTCCTTCCCCTCCCTCCCAAACTACAGGGGTCCTTCCTAGAAAAGGCTCCTAGGATGCAGAGGTGGGAGGGACCTCCATTAGATGGTGCGGTCCAGCCCCGGGATTCCCCCAGATAGGGAGCAGCGGAGGTCAGACTCCCCTTCCCTCTCTGAACTACCTCCTGCCTCAGACCAGGGCTTCCCTAGAGAAGCCCAGGCTGCCCCCCTCAAACCTGGCCCCTAATGCTCCGTCTGTCTCCTGCCCTTAGGTTTATGGAATGTTCCTCACCTCCTTCCTCTGGCTGACCATCCATTACGGCAGGAACCTGGACCGAAAGGGCAGCTACACACTGACCACCCAGTAGGGCCTGGCGCAGGCTGACCCAGGCTGCTGCCAATGGGGGAGGCCCTCTTTCCTTCCTTCAGCCCTGCCAGGAGCCCGCCTGAGGATGGAGGCAGCTGGCCCTTCCAGGAGCAGACCCCTCGGAAGGCTGCTGGCCACCTGAGGCTTAGCGGGGAGAACCAGGAGGTAAAGGCAGTCACCATCCACTCCCTGTGTGACCTGGGACATGCCACTCCAAGAGAACAATGATACCTACACTGTTTCCCTCTCAGGACTTTTATGAGAAAAGTGCTTAATGAGCTCGTGGTTCCAGAGAAGCTGACCAGTTGATAGCTGGGGCCGGCCCCCTGCCCCTCTCTGTCCCCCTGAGCTCCAGACAATCCGCCGACCACACTGGGCATGCTAGAACGGGAGTCTTCACCTAGGATCTCTGGGCCCCTAGAGCTTCTGTGGGCATATCCTTGGAACCTGTGATCATTTGACAACTGCATTTCAATACAATTAGTTTCCTTCGTGTTTGTATGCATTATTACTATTATTATTCTTATTTGCATTCAAAAACGTGGTGGTGAGAAGGGGTCCTAGGTGTCAGGAGGGCCATGACAGAGAAGAACGGTTCTGGACTTTTGTTCCAGGAGCCCCCTTCACTTCTCGGTAGAGGGAGCCCCAAGTCCTCAGCTCCTCTTCCTCAAAGGGCCCCTCCACCACCTCCTCATATGGGTGAGCCCGGCTGTCGGCCACCCACACCAGAGGAAGTAGTCAAGGGGACCTCAGCCACCTCAAGAAAAGGGAAGCTTGGTGACCGGCCCTGGGCCTGACTCGGTCTGGTCAAGCTCCTGTCCCTGACAGAGCGGTCGCCGTCCACTTGAGGGCATGCTGATCCAAGGATCAGGGGCTCTAGAAAGGATCTCTGTTCTTTTGACCTTACCTCAGGACCTTTTCCCTCCCTCCCCTTGGGGAAGAGAAAAAGCAGCAGTATGGAAGCCCCGCCTGGTAATGGGCATGTGCAGCCTCCTGTCCTGGGAGTTGGCGCCTCTGCCATGGGCCAGGCTGTTTCTTCTTTAGGACCCCCGTCACTCTTTCAGCGCCTCAATTCAGGCTCCTTCCTCTCTTCATTTGCATTATTACAGTCATTCTTTCTCTGGTTCTGCTGCACTGCTTGCTTGGCTCTGCATCAGTTCATAAAATCTCCCTGTGTTTCTCTGAATTCCTCATTCCTCACCACAAACAATATCCCCTTACACTCACGTGCCATAATTTCTTCAGCCCCTCTCAACTGTCAGGTTCATAGACTTGGGGCTGGAAGGAATCTGAGAAGCCATTCAGTCTAATGGGGAAACTGAGGCCCTGAGATTTGGATGGTCACACAGGTGGTGTCAGAGCCAATAGTCAGACTCAGACTCTCTTCTTCAATCTAGGATTCTTAAAATCAGGGTTTCAGTTTGGCCTGAAAAAATAGCCAAGTGATAAAAACCGCTGGGGAGATACAGGCCTGAATAGAAGATAAATAAAAGTAGTGAATAATACAAGCTGGTGTCGGGTAGCAACAGTGAGGGCTTTTAAGGGCTGTGGAGAATCGGGGAAAGCTCTGATCACATCGTCCCCAGCCCTTTGCTATCATGAAAGGAGCGCTACTTTGTGCATTTTGGCACAGGCCGGACTTTGCTTCTGTCTTTGACTTCCCGGGGTTGGTGGGGTCCCTGGCTCAGTGGGAGTGGACATCGTGGTCACTTTAATTGAGTAATTCTGGATGGAAATTCTGAATGGTTGGACCCTGTCAGTGAATCAGCCTGCCCGCCTTCCCTCGGCCCCACCAACATTGATTATGTCTTCTTCGCCAATTTGCCCAACATGAGGGGAAACCATGGGGTTTTTGATTTTCTGTTTCTCCTACATCTATGTTTTCATGGGTCTTTCATAGCCTGCAAATGGTCTCTTGAAAACCGTTCCTACCTTTTGACTACCTGTCTGAATGTTTCTGGCAGAGGGGCCGTGGAGCAGCTACTCTCCTTGACCATGAGGAGCCTATCTATACCAGGGGCTGTGTCCACAGGGCTTTCCAGACCACCCCGGCCTCTTGGTCCCTGTCGGCTGCTGGCACAAAAATGTTGTTATATTGATTGTGTTTCCAAGCAAGCCTCAAATGTCCATTCTTTGTGTAATTGTGAAATAGAGATTGATATGTTAGAGAGTTATAGAGACCGCCATTGCGGTCAGAACCTTGTACACGTTCTGGAGGATTTCATGATGGATCCGATATTTGTTTTGTGGAGCGTTCCTGGCTCAAATTGCGCACACTTGTGAGTGGCCTTACGATGTTAGCATTGATGTTGCTACCTTTGGGGACTCATCAGGTGGGGGATGGCTAAGCACACCGGGGTGCGTGAAGGCAGCGGAATATTTTGTGCCGTAAGAGGCAACAAACACAAAGAATGCGGAGAACCGTGGGAAGACGTACACGCACCGATGCCGAGCCAGGAGATGAGACAGCCGAGGACAGCAGCAATGGTGCAGGAAATGGGGAGTCCCACAAAGCAACCAAACGATGTCGGGCCCCAAAAGGTAATTTGGGAAGAGGCCTCCTCCCACTCCTTCCCAGAGGAGGCCCCAGGCTGTGGAGCAGCGCGCATGGCTCAGATTCGGTTTTTTTTACAGATTGCTTGTTTTTGCTGATTTTGTCTTCCTTTTTTTTTCTTCTTCTTTTTAAATTGTTATCATATGGGATGGCTCTAGGGCAGCCAGGGAACTGGATACAGGGTGAAGTTTAGGCCATGTGCAAATAAAAGATGTTAATAAATATTTTACTTTTAAAAGAATGAGGCCATCCTAAGGCTATTGTCTAGAAATGAAGGCTGTGGACTTGGAGGCAGGGGAGGCCACGCAGGGAGGTTTTCCAGCCCCACCTGAGAATTGTGGCCGAGGAGATGCGCCTCTGACAACAGAAAGTTAGACCTGGGCTCTCCCTACTACCTGTCCTCTGAGGAGGACGACGTGATGGAGAAGGATAAGGCACCATGACATCTGAGGCAAGGATGTGGCCGCAGCCCTGTGCCGGGCAGCCACCGTGGGCCCTTCCTCCGACATCTCCCCTGGACGGCAGCCCTGCTCCCTGGAGGCCAGGAGCAGGCAGGCTGCAGTAGCCCCGGGAGCAGGTCGAAAGGAGGGTGAGATTGCCTGGAGGTCTTGGAGGGACCACTTAGATGGTCACGCACACCCTTATGGCAGCCAGCGCAGACCGGAGCCAGCCAGCAGGACGCTCTGGGTCAGTGGGATGGGGACAGAGAGGCACATTAGAATTGTGTGGCCTCAAGGGGAAAGCTCCACCTGCATCATCGCTGCTTCGGTCCACGCCGAGAATGCTGATGCCCCCATCGTTCAAGGCTGAGTCAGCACTGCCTGAGGCGTGAGCCCAGCTCCAGCCCCTGGCCCAGCTGCTTCCTGAGTGTGGGCCCCAGAAGTGAAGGAGGGGGCAGACCCCCGCCCAATGTCGAGCTGGAGATGCTCTAGGGAGGCTGTTGTGTGCAGTTCTGGGGGGTCCAGACCCTCTCCCCTAACTGGAACCTCAGCCCTGAAAGGAACCAATTCTAGGCTTTTCCAGATTCTAGCAGGAAACTGTCCACAATAAGCAGTCTCCAAAACTGGGCCCTTTGGAGGCCCATGCAGACAGGGCAGAGGCTCACAAAAGATGAGAAAAGGGAAAGGCTAGCAAACACTCCGGGGATTCTGGCTCTTCACCCGGTGAGCCAGAGCCTCTGGTTTTTGGCCTGGTGCCCCTCCAGCACCAAACCAGCCAAAGCTTGGCCAGAGGCCCAGGAGGGGTGTGGGACGGGCTGGAGGGCACCTGCAGAAGCCGGCTCACTGATTCACCCCCTTTGGAGAAAGGGCCAGGAGGATTGCTCTGGCTGCCACAGACGGTCTGGAACCGTCTCAAGGAAATGCTGGTTGGCGGAAGCCCCCAGAACCCGCCAGCCCCTATGCCTCCTCACCCACGGTGGCAGCGCCTGAGAGACACACAGATGGGAGTGGGCGGGGTGGGGGTGCCCAGATCTGACCAAAAGCATTCAACTCAACCAACCTCAGGCTTAGGGTGCCCAGGGCAGGCTGGCGGGCTCTGGAGGCAGATGAAGGAGCAGATGGCTTCCATGCTTCCAGCTGGACTTGGTAGGTTGGAATGAACGGCCCAAGGCCTCTCGGGGCACCACTCACGCCTCGGGCTGATGGGCCTGTCCATTAGAGTCCAGGGGCTTGGCACAGTGCCTGGCACAGAGTAGGTGCTTAATAAATCCTAGTTGTCGACTGACTGACTAACCTGGACCACCTTGATGACATCACGGTCTTTGGGAAGACGCTGGAGGAGCAGAGAGGCTGATGGAGGCGCTGACTCTGTGGGAGGAAGCTGGCGAGAGCCAATTCTGCAGAATTTCCCATTAGAGCTCGGGCCACATCCTGTCCCAGCGAGGTGTGAGCATCGCCCTGGGAGGCCGATGGCCACACCCAGAGAAGTTCTCTTCATCATAGATTGTCAAGGACCGTGCAGTGCAGTGACGGCAAAGGCCTTTCTTGTGGAGACACAACTGAAGAGACTCAGGGCCAAGACGCATAAAGAGAAGAATTGTCTGAAACCTCCGGAGCCCTTTGGGACTAGACAGACAGACGGATGGGAAGGAGCCTTGCCCTGCACCCCCAGGCAGATCTCCTGTTCTCCGCAGATGGCACCCTGCTCGCTGGGGAAGCTGTCCCACACCTGGAGGGTAGGGAGCACTGGGGGCCAGGTGCGTGGGTTAGCAGTGGCTTGACCGGCAGTCTCATGGCCGCAGCAAACTTGAGCTCTTGGCTTGGAGGTGGGCTGGCCCTGAAAAGGTCCAAGACCACAGGTAGGGAGCCAGATGCCAGATAGGGGCTAGCAGCAATCCACTGACTTATTTCCAGACCAGAGCCAAATTGGATTCTGCTTGGAAGAGATGGGAGCCCGCCATGATTCCAGCAGACACTACGGAGCTGGGAAGGCCAATGCAGAGGCGGTGTCTTGTCCAGAACGTCACCCAACACCGCAACTACTGGGACACCAGAAGGAGGGGTGAGAGCTATCGGTGACACCCAAGTAGCTGGACAACTACCGGGTGGACGTATCGCTTGAGACTTCCGTGTCAAAGACAACATGCCAAACACACATCACCGGAGCAACCTTCGTCACCGCCACCGCCGTCTGAGAGAAGAGACGGCCGACGAAGGACCTAAGGTCGTGAGACTTACCCGGGCAAGAATTCAAACTCACTGAGGGCCACGCAGGCCCAACCGCCAGCCCAAGTGTAGACCGGGAAGTCTGCGACGGTCATTCTCCACCGAGAGCTCAGCTAGAAGAGGAGAGAGCCTAAAAGCACAGAAGACATCCCCAAAACCTTCAGTTTCAGGTGGCAGAGGGCACCTTCCTGTTGAGACAAGAGCAGACACTGGGGCTGGGCCACGGAGGACTGGACCGGACCGGACTGCAACAGATGCTACCACAGGACAAGAGCAGCTGAGCCTACG